ACTATATCCACATTAACTATACCCCAACGTTAAGGACCCTTTTTATACTAAATCAAACCTAATCCTAAACTGAGTTGGAATCCTAAACCTATCTGAAACTTGCATCCAAGTTTCCCATACCTATTACAATTAGAACTCCCACACCAGTTAGGAACCCTTCTCGGATTCTATACCAACTTCTAACATAATTTTCGAATCGACTTGGTCTTAGAATTGAGAGAGTAAAAACCAAACCTAAAATTAAAAAACAGAAACAACATTAATACTATATAAATCACAAAACATCTCAAGGTAGACATTTCTCTCTGGTAGTACTACACGATATGAAGTTAAACTAGGAAGTATCATGGATTGACATCATAATTAAGTAGGTTGAGTTTCTTCATATCAGAAGCAGAGTTGTAGAAGTATTATGGATTGACATTTTAAGTTGTTTTTCATTTTTTCCTCCCTCAGATCATGCTTCCTCATCCATCATTTTTCTTATACATTTTTGTTGTCACATAGCTCAAGCACAAAAAGTAAAATTAAAATCTAAAAACGAAATGGTTATAAAATATGACCATTGGTGTACGTCGTTTGCAAGAGCACAAGTAAGTCAAGTTGTGATTTACTAATTTGGTTCCTTTCTCACTTTATTATGAGTTTTGCTTGTTCAGTATAGAACAAATTATCCTAGCTTAATTTGGTGATCAGAAAATTTAAAAGGTAGTGCGCACTCATTTTTGCCTTTTACACATCTTTTTAATTTTCGGCCGTCGGATCGAATGAATTGAACAAGAACAAGGGACAAAAATTAATGATGTTGGGACATAAAAAGAGATGTTTGAATAGCACAACTAATTCAAAATCTCAAAATAAATCACAAAATATCTCTAGAGACCATGTCACCACCATTCATTTGTGATAAGGTTTATAGCAATAAGACCATACAACTTAACTTTGACGTCATAAAGAAGTAACCTAGCCTAAGCCATGAAAACTCTGATTTTTTCCTCCCAACCATCTCTCTATCTTTCAAGCTCTTCGCCATGGAAGCCCAAAACCCTAACCTTTCACCCCAGGACCTTGCAGAACCAAAGCCACCCTGAAAGAAGGACGTACGAAACACATGCAAATGCAAAAGGCTTTGGCAGTGCGCAACCAGCCACCACAGAAGAAACGCCGACAAGCAAAAACTCCGGCAAAATTGATAACAACGATGGCGACGAGGAAGTTCCACAGGTTGTTTTCGAGAGAATGCTAGTGAGAATTATCGCCGCCGTGGGGCTGCCTTTGGCCACGGGCTTTGCGTTTTTGAAAGTTTTTGACGCGGTGAAGGAGAACCACTTGTGGGACGTGCCACTTTGGCTACCATTCTTGACGACCTTGTTGACTTTTGGGACATCGGCTCTTGGGATTGCGTATGGGGCATTGTCTACAAGTTGGGATGCAGAGAAGAAGGGTTCAGTTCTTGGATTGGAAGAAGCTCAAAGCAATTGGGTTGAGATGTGGAGGGAGGAAGACGAGAGTAATAATAGTAATAAATGATGGTTTAAGTTTGGTTTATGTAATTAAATTGATAGATTTTGGTTACCATAGCTTCAAGCACCATTAGTTAGTTTTTGTTTTCCCCTTATTCTCTTGACGTAAATTTTTGAGTGTGTCGATTACACGGTATTATTGATTCACTTGTTATAAAATTAGAATGATGTGCCATAAATTTATATGCATTATTTGAAAATAAATTTGCACGTACTATAACATAAATAACTTAATAATATATATATATATACACATACACATACGACATGTACGCTAAAATGATTAATGCTAGAAAAATTAAATTTGCAAACTAAATGATGTGTCACTAATAAAAATAGGCATGTTTATTAACGCTTAAGTAATAATCTAATCATCAACTTTCATATCATTTAACTTTCAAAAATATTATCTACAAATTTAATTTTCCTAACATTACCTTGTGCTAAAATTAAACTTCTCATATGTATATATGTTAACGTGAGTAGGTGATGGTTTGCACAGTTTTACATTCTTCTTTCTATTCATTTAACTTCAATTTAATTGAAGGCTGTAGTTGACTTGCACATTAATCCATGAAAAATATTAAAAGGAAAACTAATGAAAAGAACTTGAAAATTTTGAGTTTTAACGATAATGACAAAATAAAGTGTAAAGTGAATAGTACCATGATTGACTTTTTAGTGTAAAAATATGATTTTTCATTAAAATGAACAGTACCATGATATTTTCGGTTCCCAAATATTAATCATTGAATTGAAAGTTTAAGAGAAAAGCTGTAAGATCTCTAAAATTTATTTTAAACAGTCCAATTGAGCATATTCATGTCGAAAATACTTTATATAATATTAAAGTGAAAAGTTACTTTATAAATTTATAGAATCAAGATTCAAAACTAAATGGTTTAACAGTAAATCAAAGAAAAAAAGAAGAGAGCGAATATGATTTTAAAAATTGAGTGAGTTGAGTTTGAATTGTTAGTAACAAAATATTTAAAGTTTGTTAAAATAAAGAACTGGCCTATTTGATTAATCTGGATTTGACTCTTAATAAGAATAGAAAGATTAAGTTTACTTGATCAATCTGAGAGTAAGGATGTACGAGAGGAAGGGTCAAAGTAACTCAGCTTAAGGAAGATGGGACCTTTTTTGAAAAACAGAGAACGAAGAGATGAAAGAAGTCAAGAATCACTGGTAATATTTTTCGATGCACCCGAAGAAAGTACACAGCAGGTATCCATCCGCTAGAATGAGGATTTTTTTCGGATCTTCAAATCGTGTCCTTTTATCATATATTATACGGTTAGTCATGTACTGTTTATATTTAATTTTAAATAAAAGTATTTAAAATAATTTATGATCGCACAATGTACGATGAACTAACATGATTTGAGGATCCCTAGATCGGAAAGGATCCTCATTCCATTGGCTAAACAGGGCCAGGAGCTACGAGCCTAGGAACTGAGACTTCAATTTTCTTGGTTGCCTTACTTGTTTAGGGCTTAGTCTGACTCATCATGAAATAGTGTAGAGTCATGTGCGAATTTCCAACTTGTTTAGATTCAAATATGTTGTATGAAAAATAAAATAAATTAAGTAGCTCAAATAGTTTTTTAACATTGTTCGCTTGTTAATTTAAAAAATTTGCAACTTTTTTGGAGAGTTCCTAGGTATGTTTAACTTAAGCTACTAAGCCCACTATTAAATAATGAGTTGATGTCACTGCAAGTTGTAATACAAGGAGGTGCTTAGATCTGAGCTCTTACATTGCATATGGATTGATGTCATCTCAACAATTATAAAAAGCTTCTAATGAATCATTTTAAAAGAAAAACTAATGAAAATAACTTGAAAACATTGAGTTTTAACTAAAAGGATAAAAATATGTTATAAGTGAATAATACCAGGATTGACTTTTAGGATTAAAATGTAGTTTTTTGTTAAAGTGAATAGTACCAGAAGCTTTTCGTTAAAGTTCCTCATTTTAAAATGAACTAGACTGACAGTTATGTGTTAATCAGTGTTTAGTGATCATATTATATTCTCTAATTAAGTACTATTACGTTTTCTATTTTCTTTTTATGTGGTTCAATGTGCTAGCTAGAAGAAGTAAAACAAAATACACAACTTAAATTTTTTTTCCTCTTAGTATTACGGTCTAGTGGTTTTCTTATTTACTTGTAAGTGAGAAGTCTTAAGTTCGATTCTTGTCAAAAACAAACTTAAACCACATTATTATTAGTTTATTGTGAGGCTAAGTTTGTCATCTTCCTTGTAGATAATATCGTTTGTTAAAAAATAAATAATCAGTTTGTAGTTTCACCACGGTAGCCCACTCATTCAAGGGTTGAAAAAACTCACAGAAGTATTTCAACCTCCTCTAATCATTTTCGTGTCATTCACGATTATCAAAGATTGAATCCAATATATATTGTATGAAATACAAGTATGTAATTCGTTATTAACCATCAAATCACCCCGCAAACAAATGCACAACTTGATTAGACATAACAAACTCTGCAAACATTAACCAAGCTGCATTGGGAATTTAAAAAGTAACGATATATATGTACCACACAAATAATGGTTAATTAGTACCGACATTGATGATAACATAATGGAACCATCTACTGGCCGGCGACGACGTTTTCCATTCGATGTTGACGTGGGGAGAGATCACTAGAATAATTAACGAACCAACAGGAAGCCTACTGTTATACGTCTGCTTATATCATTACATCATACAGAATCCTAACCTTCTGTGCCGATTGAGACATTTTGCATCTGTATTTGTTTTGCACACACGGAAGTCTTCATCGCATTTGATTTAAGAAATGTGTTATTCACACATTATTTTTTACTTTTCATATATTTTTTTTAATTTTTGACCATCGAATCGAATGAATTGAAAAAGATCAACGGACAAAAATTAACAAATGATATGTGAGAAGTAAAAAGGAATGTGTGGATAACACATCTCTTGATTTAATTAATCAGGCTTTTTAGATAAAAATTGTTATTGTGATTAATATAATTTTTCACATACATTTTGATCACGTCGATAAAAGTAGTTCATGAGTTTGTTCATCGTCAATTATTTTGATCATTCTGTGTAAAAATTTATCAAATTTCTTATTAAGTTAAGAAATTAAATTGATAAAAATACCCTTAAAAAGATATAGTCACTGAGATCGATCAAAAATGATATGAAAGTTCTCAAATTTATGATCAAATATAGAAAAAGTATTGTCCTCTCGCAATCACGCAATCAAACACGTAATATTGCCCCTTAACTTTTAGTGGACGACGATTACAATGTGTGTCGCATGATGTAAACGTCAACGTTGACATTAAGAATCAACCATTAATCTCAACTTTGCATTCTCAAAATCAACAAGTGATTAGCAGATAATAGTGCACTAAAAAAGAAGCGCGTAATCAACAAGTGATAAGCAGAGTGTTTTACACTAAACAAAAAAGTGCGAAAATCATTTTCACTTAAATATTACTTTTTTTTTTTTTTTAAGGAAGACAACTGGTGGCAAGTCACGACTATCCATTCTTTTCGGAAATCGAAAAGACTCACAGAAACATTTTAGCCTTCTTGATCACAAGTTTGGCGTCCACACCAAAAAAAAAAATACAAAATAGTACATAAAAATACCACAGAGACTTCTAGATCATAAAAAGCCAATACCAAATATGTACATCCGATTTCTCCTCTTGAAAAACACCATGCATGTCAATAAAATTTTACCAACCATTCAGCAAATGACGCAAGAATTGGGATCCTCTTCTGCACTTCTTACGCAGTAATATGCAGGCATTGGAGGATACTGAGCTTGGTAGGCCCTCATAGCCTCAGCCAATTCCTCCTTTGGATCTTTCTTCTTCTGCTCCTCCTTCTTTGGCTGCTCCTTCTTTGGCTCCTCCTTCTTCTTCTCCTCCTTTGCCGGTCCGACTGAGACTATCTCAGTATGGTAAAGCTTCCTTAATCTTGCCACCAACTCCACCGGATCTATGTCCCCTGTGACCGTCAACTTCTTGTCCTTCATATCCATGGAAATTGAATCAAGCCCTGCAAAAAGAGAATTCCATTAACAAAATTAAATAAGTTCGTCACTTAATACATGTGGATTCGAACTTGAGAGACTAGCAAACTGCTGTAACTAACTTGGCTACGCATAAATCTGCTAGTTCGAAAAACTATTGAAATCGGAGTAAAATGTTGAAGAAGAGAGTAATATGGCCATGGATTTAGTACCTTCAAGCCCCGACACGGCCTTCATGGCTTTCTTCTTAGACTTCTCGTTGTATACTTCCAATTTCAACACTACTTTCTGTCATGTAACAAAATAGTATAGTTTAGACCCGCAGCAAATTATAGTCAGAAAAAATAAGCAAAGATCAAAAGTAGTAGCCTTGGTCACGCATGCATATCTTTTATGTAAAAAGCATCACATAAAAAAGTTGTCTGCAAAAAGAAAGAGCTTTTGAGCAGAGTAAAAGCCCTAATTACCTTCATCATTTTCTGTGGAGCTTGAGAGATCTGAGAGCAAGAAGTTGAACAAAAAGCTTCAAATATTTAAGCAGAATCCAAGAGATTAAGAAAATAAAAAGAGATTATATTATGGTATAAGTAATTAAGGGGAAGAGAGACGTTGAAAGTCTCTTGGTGAAGTGAAGAGTCCTGGGACTGCAATTTATACCGAAGAACTGAGGAGGGAAGGAAAGAGAAAGAAGGAAGTTACAGAGGAAGGAGCCGAGTCAACGTCATTATGGTCAAGACGCAAGCTACACAACAGAACCGCAGTCTCCGGTCAACAAAATCATGTGCTATTTTTGGCTGCAAGAGAAAATTAATTAAATTTTAATTGGTATTTTGCATCTTCAAGATATCAAATAATACTAATTCAGACCTTGAAGAGAAGGGATTTACATTTTTTTTTTCTTTCCAAATGTGGATTATTCATGTGATTCACTTCACATTAAATTTCAACAATTCGAAACATTTATTTGGTAAGTCTCGATTCATATATCATCTTTGCAAAAATTTAATTCAATTCGAAATTATTTGTCTATTTAATTATCACGATAAAATTGCATTAGTTTTTTAGAAACTAGTGTCTGTTAATTTACTATAACTCAATTATATATCTCAAATATTTTTGATTTGATTAATATTTTACAAGAATGATCTATACAGTATAACTTAAAAAAAAACATTCGAATTGTTGAAATTCGATATGATGCATACTTCACAATTAATCTACATTTAAAAATTAATTAGAAATCGAAGATCCCTACTCCGAAAAGTTTCCGAATACTAATTAAGGCTTACGAAACTTTATTACATCATCAGTGATCTGATCTCCCACTGCCAAACGGCACCCTAGTGGCTTCTTACACTTTTTGACGAGTAGTTCAGTGGGTTTTGAAAAGTATTTTGCAATCATAGAGTTCGTATCCAATTTCCAGGAAGGAACGGTTGGCATTTGCATGAGCAACTTTTTTGTACGATTCCAATTTCTCTGTGGGTCGCCGTCGTTGGTAGGGCTTCCACATCCCCACCATAGCCACCTATTTATTTCTACGATCTCCACGCGTATTTCAGATCATGTCAGGCGATAAACTGTAGAAAAGACTTGACTTTGGTTCGAATTTTGGTTTGATACACGTATCACCCCAACCAGTGACGGATTTAGAACTTGACAAGATCAGGATCTAAACATGATTGAAAAAAATTTAAACGATAATATCAAAAAAGAATTAAACGGTAGTATATTCATTCACGATTCAAGGTAAAAGTAATATTAAAAGCTATAATTGTTCACGGCGCTTCTTTATATTTTGAAAACATTGCATTATATATTTGTTATCAATACAGAGGACCACAAGTTCATCCGAGGTGCTCACCAGTCATATTTCCTATGTTCACGAGTCACCTGAAGACCCAATTTAACCCTTTGTAGCTCCGCCACTGACTCCAACCATGTAGAAGACAAATTCAAGGCATTTTTTTCATTGAATCGACCTTAATGCATGTCAATTTCATACTCATTTAATGAGTGGCCATTGTCCGCACCTAAAAATCCTTCTACGTCTTTATCTATCGCGTCACATGACTATGAAACCATGTACCTCTTTATAAAAAGGAGCTATACTTTACTGCCTTTTCTTCCGTTCCCATCCGTGGTCCCATGGGCTATTTTTAAAATTGTATACGGCCAATCGGACATGAAGGTTTTCTTTTTATGGTAGGGGCGCTCATGGTGTGAACGGTAATTAAGCTAAGGTATCTGGTGTCACATGGGTGGAAGGTATAGTGTCTTCTAAATGGCCTATATCTTTTGCTGGGTTTCTACTTCTGCCTCTAGTAGACTAGTAGATCCTCTATTTTCAAGATTCTCATTGCGTTAACCTGAGCTAGATTAACATGCTTAATTTAAGCAGCAGATAGAAAAGTTTATTATTTGAAATATGAAAATTAAACTAATCATCTCGGGATGATTCAATGGTTAAGAACAAATTTCGAATCTTATTCCACGACACTTTTTGAGTTTGATCCTGGTGCTCGTGAATCACACGATGATGATCAAAAGAAGATTGAAATGTCTTTTTGAATGTTTTTAACTCTAAAAATTGTGAATTGTTGTGTCGAGCCACCAGCTCGACCATTAGTTGCCTTTAAGAATTTATTACACTTGCGAGACGAAGCTGGATTTTGTAAATGGATTGGGCTATTTTCTTCTAATATTGGGCCTTGATAATACCCCAACTTTCTACCAGCAAAACTTGCTTAAATATGAAAAACATATAATTTGATACCATTTCTAATCTTCTATATTAATTAATGAAACTCTTTTTATCAACTAAAAGATGGTGAAAATACTACTTAGTCTTCTATCACAAACAAAAAAATTATGGGCAATAATGTAATTTCACAAGTTTAAATTTTACTGTTTTTTATTTGAAACATCACCTCCAGGTGAAGTTAAAATACCTCCAATATTAAAAAATAAAAACTCAAAAATAAAAACCTCTCACTCCCTCCACGTTCTCTCTCTCCCTCTCTCCTTCTCATTTTCTAAAAAAATATGTTCATACATACAAAGTGTGTAGGCAAATGCTAGTACTATTATTAAGAGAACCCTCATTGTCAACTTTTTGCCATTTTTTCCTATTTTGCCCTCACTTTTGATACACAATATTTACATAATTAGGGAAAAATAGTAATTTTGTATCTTTTGAGAAAATGACAATCATATCCCTATTTTTCCTATTTTACCCTCACTTTTGATACACAATATTTACATAAGAAGGACAAAACAATAATTATGTAATATTAAGATAAAATGTGCACTTATTAAGAGAAATTGTCCCACCATCATTTTTTCATACTCTTTTTAAAATTTTAAAAACTAATCACACTTCTTAATAAATAAAATAAAATAAAATAAAATTATTCACACACACAGAGTGTGTGCTCATCGGCTAGTACTTGATTAATAAAAGCTTGCTGGTGACCAGAAGATTCGATTCACAAATACCTTATTTTTTATACGTGTTTTATTCTTATCCTAATATTAATGTAGATCCTAATTATATTTTGAACTTTGAAACTTCCAATTAACTATTTGTTTGCACATGTGCACTGATTTTATTTCTTATTTAATTTTTGTTTAAAGAAAATATTTCAATGCGACACTAGTCCAGTTACGATTGACAACCTTTTATCATAAAATAAGATGTTTATACACGACCACACGTGCTTTAAGTGCATAGACATGTTTGCAGGGCTGCATAGCCGATTTGTGCGATTGAGATTTTACTTTCTTTGCTCTTAGATATGTACATCAACTTCGAACTTTATCGAAGATGTAAAATAGGAGGCAAAGATTTATCCTCGTTTAAAAAACCAGATACAAAGCCACTTCATAATGTAAACATCACATTTCATATGCCAATTTCAGCAAAAAAATAAGAGGTACAAGTTATATGCAATATTTTACCGTTGTATAGATTTACAGAGGCATAGCTCTGAATGGACCAAGATGGTTCTAGGCCCATCCTGACATTTTTTTTTACGCAGAAAAGTTTAATGTTATGCTTGTGGTTTTCAAGAATTTTCATAGGCTCAAGGACCAATTCAATGTTTTTACTTTAATTTTTTTCATTGGGGTTGATTTGAAGCTAGTGACTCCTATGAAGTTCGGCAATCCGTTGCTTGTGAGCTTTGAGGAGGACTTTGGTCTGGGATTAGTGGAGGGAGAGAGAGGAAGAAAGTTAGAGAAGCATGAGATTTATGTTTAAGGAAGAGGATAATGAGGATGACACCATTTTAGACCCCAAACAACGTTGGTTGGTTACTCATCACACTACAAAGTAATTTTTGTAAGATTGCGATAGCGTTTCGGATTGAGACATTTGGGCCCTCCTAAACTAAAATTCTAACTCCATCATTGTAAATTTTATTTATTTATTTTTATATCAAAATTAACTAAATGTTTTGAATCATTCTATAAAAGAAAAATTGCTAAAGGTTACAAAAAGAAAAAATGATTAAACAAAGTGGCATGAAAAGCAAAGGTGATGGAAATATCATGTGGCCTAGTGTGCGGCCATTCATTTAAATAATACATGGAGAGGGAATGGACCATAGATTTTTCCAGTCTAAAGACCATGTGTCTGCATCATTCGGGTCCCTAATTTGCAAACCCTAATCAAATCAAATCATTTTCTCCACGATCCACACTCTTCTGTTGTCCTTTTGAGTGTTGGTTGGCTGGTAAAAATTGAGAGGTGATGATGCACTAGTTCTTGGCTCACACAAGTCCACCGTTACCACGACCCAACGTATAAAATTAATTTTGGTGGATGGGAACAAAGTTCTGTTTTTTGATGGGAGTGAATTCTGCGTTTTTTTTTTTTTTTTTAATCTTTTGCGTGCCTTTATATTTGATTTTTTATTATTTTTTTTCAATTCAACAATTAAAATAAAATATGTGTAAAACTTATTTTTCATAAATTTAAGATCGTTGATGTCATTTAGTATTACAATATAGTGATATTCTTATTTATTTATAATTGAGAGGTTTTAGGTTCGATTCTCATCAAAGAAGAATTCGAACCATATTATTATTAACTCATTGTTAGGCTAAACCCACCCCATCTATTTTCGTGTAGATAATATAAAAAAAAATGGAAAAAAAAGATCGTTGCTTTGGTTTCGCTACGCTTAACTAATGTCAATTGAATTATGATTGAATGATCAAAACCAATTTGCCAGCCATGTTCATCATGTCGTCCTCCTTTTGTGAGGTGCTCTACTTACCTCATGTCCTCTTCGTAGCTTGGTCACTAATTAGGCATGTTTCTTAATTCTATTTCGACATTGTTCATGCGTTTCGATGGACAAGAATTAAGAGGGATCTTCAAGAAATCTTTAAAATGAAGCTAAAGTCTTTAACCATCTAACTAAACCGCTATTAGATTGTTTCCAAATTTGAAAAAACTAAGGTGATTTTTTCAAAATGTGATTCTTCATAAACTTTATGTCACTTCCTAATTTAACATTAATTTATGTGCTATTATAAAATATTGTGCTAAAAATATAAGATGACAGTATAAAATCTCAATCTTAAGATAATTCCCTTAGAAATTCACTCAAAATTTCCTTGCATCATCAAATAAAACAAAACAAATCAGTCAATGCCACGGGACCCTTAAACGTGGCAAGCAACTATTGGCCAGCTCTGCACCCCCCAAAATCTCCGCCGCGTGGAAGAATCCCCAAGTCCTTATATAAAATTTCCGCCGCCTCCGGAAGAGCCGCAGCTCCTTTCGCTCTTTCAATAAAAAGAAAAATAAAAAAGGGAATCCGACTCTTCCGCAATTTATGGTATCCAAAAACCCGAACCCGCCAGAGGGCTTGTACTTGGATCCGAACGACAACGGCATGCCGTTGCCCGGACTCGGGCCGTTCGCCTCGGTCACTGCGACGACATCGACGACGTCGTCTTCGGCGGAGGATCTGAGCAAGAAGATTCGGAAGCCCTACACAATTACCAAGTCCAGAGAGAGCTGGAGTGAGCCGGAGCACGACAAGTTCCTCGAAGCCCTCCAACTGTAATTGTCATTTCTCTTCATTTTTATTATTATTTTATGCTTTTAATTAGCTTCACATTTCTCTCAATTCTTCAATTCTGCGTGTATGAATTTCTGGGGTGCGGGGGGAGTTGTAGTTCTGAATTGGGTTTTGAAATGTGGTGAAATAAATGGTGTAGATGTTATGTGTGTGTTGAATTTTGTAAGGATTTGTTTGGTTGCTGAGAGAATTTAGGAATGAAATAAAAGGGAGAAAAATGTGGAAAAGGAGTAAGATTTTTTTAGTTTTAAATTGATTTTAAAATGTGGGAAAAGGAATGATAGAGTTTTTGTTGTGTTTTGAAAATTTGTATGATTTGTTTGGTTGCTGAGAAAATTTAGGGAAGGAAGAAAAAACGAGAAGTTTCAGGAATCAGGAATGTGGTAGGATTTAGTGTTGAATAGGGTTTTAAAATGTGGAAAAAGAAATGGTATAAATTTTGGGGGTTTGTGTTTTAAAATTTGTAAGGACTTGTTTGGTTGTTGAGAAAGAGACGGCTTTAGAGGAAAAAGAGTAGGATTTTAGTAGGAAAGAAAGAAAATAGAGAAGTTTTCTCATTAAACTTCTTAATAATAATTTGGGAAAAGAGTAGGATTTTAGTGGCAATTCATTTTCTCAACAATAATTTGGATTATTATTTGTTATGATGCTGAGCCCATTTAAGTTTAAGCTCAATTTTGTTATAAATTTTGGGATGGTTCCCTAATTTTGTTCATGTTCCCTCTGTTGTATTCAGCTTCGATCGCGATTGGAAAAAGATTGAAGCTTTCATTGGGTCAAAGACGGTCATACAGGTTAATTTTCTCTAGTCATTCTATAGTTTTGGATGCAAAGAGGAATAACTGCTTGAGTTCCAACTATAACCAACTTATGCTTTTGGTTTAGTCTTACATCTACAAATTTATAGATTAGAAAATAATGAATTCCCTTACTCATAAGAAGGATTCCTTTCTCAGATACGTAGTCATGCACAGAAGTATTTTCTGAAGGTTCAAAAGAATGGGACGAGCGAGCATCTACCTCCCCCTAGGCCAAAAAGGAAAGCTGCTCACCCGTATCCTCAAAAAGCTTCAAAAAATGGTAAGGATAGTTTCAGTTTTGTGGATCATATTTTTCATATGACAAAGTCATTCAACCCTTACTCATATGTGCTTTGTTTTCCAGCTCTGGCACTTCCGCCGGTATCTTGGTCATGTCAGTCTTCATCTGCTTTACTTGAATCTGGGTTTAATCAAAGGCCAGATTCATCATCAATGCTTATGAGTCCCATCCCCGGCCCTGTAGCCCCTTCCTGGCCTAATGGTTCTGTGCAAACAGCCAATCCATCTCATGAATCCAAAGGTGCGACTATTAAATAAGTTAAATATTCATCACAATGACTTGTTCTCAGTGTTTAATAATGTTGTTGTTTGCAAACTTGATGATTTAATTGCATCTCTTTTTCATGTTGTAGTTGTTTCAGGGCCAACTGTGCCGAACAACAGTTGCAGTACCACAGAAAGCACCCCCAAAGCTCAACCAGTTGGTGGAACAACTGATCAAGTGAACCATAGCCATGCATTGAGAGGTGAGGTTTCAGTCTTCCTGCTTGCATTTTTTTCTCACCTGACAAGTATAGTCACATAATGATTCTAATTCTTTGATATTGAATTTGAACTCCTTTTCACTTGAGGTGGGATAAATTGTGGCAAGAACATGGAATTTCGTTCGTGTATGTGCACATGGGTTTTCTGTTTTGACATGTAATTGGGTACTCAACATATCAAAACTTTTAGGAGGTAAACACAGCCATATGCACTTTTCCTTCATTTGTTCTGTTGTAAACAGTGGAAAAATTAATGTCTTTGTCATCATTGCCTTGATTTCCATTTTTGTTGAGCATAGGGTATGTGTCATACATGAGGAATTGCACTATTTATGTACTCTCTTTCTTATCTGGATAAGTCTACACATGGCATGTCACAATTCAAACCAGTAAAGAATCTGGATTTGTATTAGCAAGGCACACTTGCAACTTTTGAATTTGTATGTCACCTGTTTTGTGTTGTGGCCTGAGATATTGATTGTAATTTATAGCTAGAAAAAAGCTTTCTTCCATGAATTTAATACCTAATTGTTTCTTGCAGTTCTTCCCGACTTTACTCAAGTATACGGATTCATTGGCAGCGTCTTTGACCCTAATGTTACAGGTCATCTTCAGAATCTGAAGAAGATGGATCCGATAGATGTTGAAACGGTACTCTTTTCTCCTTTATGACCTCACGTGCCATCAGTTTTAAGTTATGATTGTAGTCTATATATTTGTTTTTTATCTAATCTAGTGTTCGTGAAGAAGTTACCGCTTAATCTTGAGCATTATTACTGCCTCGTAAAGGATTCCAATTTTTTTTGTAATTGATAATGACATGGTTGTGATCTTATTATTATTCTTTCACTCCTCTTCAGGTGTTACTGTTGATGAGAAACCTGTCCATGAATTTGACCAATCCCGAATTTGAGGATCATGTAAGTTTCCATTTCACTAACCTCTGATTTGCTCTTAGCTATAGTTTGTTTAGTTGATGATGTCTTAAAAGCAAGTATATTGATGAACTTTTAAATTGGATCCAGAGACAGTTGCTTTCATCCTACAAGATGGATGCGGATACAGGGAATCTCAGTGATGCAACTAAAACCCTTTGCGACGATCAACAGGAGAAAGTTGCTTAAGTGGTTGTTCTGGAACTTCAACGCTTTCTTCTCATCCCGTTGGCAGTGCTTGAATTTCGAATCTAATCTTTGCCCACCCGGTGTTGGCATCCAGCAGATGAATTGTTGGGGAAGACCTCAATTAGTAGAAGCATCAGGTTTCATCTAGGTATTGACTTGTCGTGATACCGCGTTGTATGTGTAGCGAGCTCAACGACCACAAAGCATGTCAACTGGTATGGCATTCTGGTGTGGTTGTATATATCAAGATAAAGGTAATGGAATTTTGTATAGTTCAAGTTTATCTTGTACATCCTGTTGTATTTAAGTTTTTAGTTGTTGACTATGTGATGCTGGTGCGGTATTTGCGTGCCTGTTTGAATTCCTCTTGAATTTCTGTATACTATGATATCGGTTTTCTTTATGCGTATTATCGCGCCATAAGCCCTTGCAACTCGGGCAGCATCCTTACAGATTGGTAAAATCTGTGCGTAAGCTGATGTCCAAAAGCTCGGTTTTAATCTAAATTTCACCCCTATTTTTCAAGAGTGTTAAAACACCCAATTTTGGTTTTCACTCTACTCAATCTTTAACAATTCCTACCCTTATTTTTAAAGAGTAGTAAACATCTTGTTTTACTTTTCACACTTTTCTTATCTTTAACAATCGAGTTTTTCTTATCTTAATTTTTTATATTTATATATATATTTTTTTTAATTTCTTGAATCGAATGAATCAAATTTTAAACTCTCAAATCGAAGAATGAATCAAAATTTCAACTCTCAAATCGAAAAATTCAAGGGTTGCTCAAGTCAAATTTCTAACTCTCAAATGGAAAGATTCAACAGACGCTCAAGTTTATTTTTTCTCTTCTCAAATCTTAATTTTTGAATAAATATTACTCAAATCAATTCGACAAATACATATTAACACTACGTTAACAGTACGCGTGCACAATAAATATGAAATATGAGACTCAAATTCATATTAAATATATAACAGAGATCCGGAATTCACCACCATTATGTTTACAGACTCAAAACTAACAAAAGACACAAAATAAAGACGGCGATTGTCACACCACGCCGTCAACCTCCCACCGACAAGATCGCGACAAATACCCGAAACATACACAAACTCAAACCTAATCTCATTAGTCCACCTCCTCCATCTTGCTCTCCTCAGCAGCGTCTTCCTCCAAAGCAGGCATGTCATCATCATCGCCGGCGGTCTCCTCCTCTTCAATGCTCAGCCCCAGCTTCAACATCCGGTGAATTCTCGCCGCAAAAGTGTTGGGGTCATCCAGGCTGAAGCCGGAGGTGAGCAGAGCAGTCTCGAAAAGCAGCAGCACAAGGTCCTTCACAGACTTGTCATTCTTGTCAGCCTCCGCCCTCTTCCTCAGCTCCTCCATGATTCCATTGTCGGGATTGATCTCCATCGTCTTCTTGCTCGACATGTAGGAGCTCATGCTGCTGTCCCTCAGCGCCTGCGCCTTCATGATCCTCTCCATGTTGGCGGTCCACCCGTATTCTCCCGTCACCAAGCAGCACGGAGAGTCGACTATTCTGTCGGAAACCACCACTTTCTCGACCCTGTCGCCCAAAATGTCCTTCATTGTCTTGCAGAGGTTCTCGAATGACTTCTTTTTCTCCTCTTTGGCCTTCTTCTCTTCCTCCGTCTCATCGTCAAGCTTGAGACCCTCCTTGGTAGCAGACACCAGCTTCTTGCCGTCGTATTCCTTCAATTGCCCGACGGCATATTCGTCTATGGCGTCCACCATGTAAAGAACTTCATATCCCCTCTTCTTCAGCCGCTCCAAGAACGGGGAATTCTCCACCGCCTTCCTCGATTCACCGGTGATGTAGTAAATATCCTTCTGACCCTCCTTCATTCTGGTCACGTAGTCCTTCAGGCTGGTGAGCTCATCGCCGCTCTTGGTGGAGTGGTAGCGGAGGAGGTCGGCCAATTTCGCCCTGTTCTGGCTGTCCTCATGGATGCCCAATTTCAAGTTCTTGGAGAAGGCTTCATAGAACTTAGTGTAATCCTCTTTGTTCTCAGCAATCTCATTGAACATCTCGATGCACTTCTTCACAAGGTTCTTCCTGATCACCTTCAAAATCTTGTTCTGTTGCAGCGTCTCACGAGAGATGTTGAGAGGCAAATCATCCGAATCGACGACACCCTTCACGAAACCAAGATACTCTGGAATCAGCTCCTCGCAGTTGTCCATGATGAACACCCTCCTGACATAGAGCTTAATGTTGTTCATCTTCTTCCTCGTGTCGAAAAGATCGAAAGGAGCCCTCTTTGGAACAAAGAGGATGGCCTTGAACTCGAGCTGGCCTTCGACTGAGAAATGCTTGACAGCAAGGTGCTCCTCCCAGTCATTGGTCAAGCTCTTGTAGAAGGCAGCGTACTCCTCCTTGGTGATTTCTTCGGGCTTTCGGAGCCAGATGGGTTTCTGCTTGTTGATGAGCTGCCACTCGTGAGAAACCTCCTTGATCTTTTTCTTCTTCGATTTCTTATCCTTGTCCTCATCAACCTCCTCAACATCTCCTTCCTCTTCCTTCTTGGTTTCCTCTTCTTCGTCATCGCTGATTTCCTTCTCGGTAGTCTTCTCAGTCCAGAGATAGATTGGATAGCTGATGAACTCAGAGTGCTTCTTCACAAGGTCCTTGATCCTCCTCTCTTCCAAATACTCCAACTGGTCACAACAACCAAAAATTAGTACCCAATTTTTCTCTTTAATCATATAAAGGAAATACTTAATCAATTAGCTTGGTTCTTTACCTGATCCTCCTTCAGGAAGAGGGTGATCTTGGTGCCTCTGCCGAGCTGTTCGCCACTGACATCCCTTGTGACAGTGAAGGAACCACCGGCCTGTGACTCCCAGATGTATTGCTCATCGTCGTTGTGCTTGGTGGTCACAATAACCTTCTCGGCAACAAGATAGGCCGAGTAGAAACCGACACCGAACTGCCCAATCATGCTGACATCGGCTCCGGCTTGCAATGCCTCCATGAACTCTTTGGTTCCAGACCTTGCAATTGTACCCAAGTTGTTCACCAAATCTACAGAAACCAATTACCATCAGATTCACAGCTTATTAACATAAGCATAGACGACTAAGTCACGATCACAACTTTTAATTAACAAAACACCAAGCATAATTAAGCATTCCATAACCAATATTTTGATTTTTGGACAATTTTAAGAAATTACAAATACAATAGTTTTAAACAGGGGAGTAAGCTTAAATACAAGATGCAACTTTTACTAACAAAAATATCTATGCGAATCAATTTTCTAAGATTTTCTCGGAAGACAAACAGATCAATTAGTGAACTAAAAGAAATGAAATTTACACAAACATTTACCTGCTTTGGTCATGCCAATACCACTGTCGATGATGGAGAGGGTTTTGTTGACCTTGTCAGGCACAATCCTGATGAAAAGCTCCGGCTGAGCATCGAGCTTGCTTTTGTCTGTAAGGCTCTCAAATCGAATTTTATCCAAAGCCTACAAAGACACAACCAAATTCCATCATTTCCAAAATCCTACAAATTCCTGGTCATGCACTATCGCCGAAACAGATTTCAGTGTAGAAACAAGATCATTGAACACAAAACATTGCGATTAATCTCTAAAAATCAGGGGTTTTTAACGCAAAATACAGCAATTCATAGAAAATTAGAGAAGAAAAATCGATCAAATTAGAGAGAATCAAAACGAACACATGCAAGAGAGAGGGGGAGGAGAAGAGAAGACTCACATCAGACGAATTGCTGATGAGTTCGCGAAGGAAGATCTCCTTGTTGCTGTAAAAGGTGTTGATGATCAAACTCAGAAGCTGGTTGATCTCGGCCTGGAAGGCGAAGGTCTCAGCCTCGCCCATCTGAACGTCCGCCATCGATCGATTAATTACTCCGAGAAAACACGAGAAAGCGAGAGAAAATTGGAGCTTGTTTGGAAGAAAATCGAAACGTCGCGATCGAGGGTTTGAGATAAAGACTGTGAACTCTGATTATCTGCTGGATTAGGGGATGGGGAGTGAGGAGGCATTTATAAGGACGAGGACGATGACCATGATTCTGGATGCTTCTACTCTTCTCTCGACTTGCATATTCTCCCGCGTATGGTTGGGTTTCAAAACGATGTCGTTTCGGGAAGAAGCGTAGGGGTTTAATGGCTATTACGGCGTCGTTTGGTCGGGTTTAATCAATTCAAATCGAGAAAGTTCTGCTCCGTTCGGCAACCTTCTCTACCCGTGAAAATTATGTGACGTCATCGTGGGCTCTCCCACTTATTTAATGGCACGTTTACGTAAGGGTAATCAGAATAACGAAATGAAATTGAATTCCGATTACGGAGTATTTCGGTGTTTACTATTAAGGAATAAAAAAAGTGGTGGAGCCCACATGAAACAAGGAATCCAATTCTTGAAATTGGAGGAACGAGATTCTCTAGTTTTGTGAGGTATTTGAATTCCTTGAAGGTAAGGGAATCGGGAATGCATCTTTTATTCCTATTATGCCCTCACTTGTTTCTTATTATCCCAACATTACCCTTCATTTGACACTCATTATGTCATTTTTAATAAATAAATAAAACCTATTTATATATTTATATATAGATAATTTTATTATATAAATTTAATTAAGAATTTAATTTAATTAAATAGTATGAAAATAATTTATTTATATAAGGGCAATATAGTAATCAACCTAATTTTTATTCCGATTGAAGTGAATTAGTAAACAACTTATATAGACTCAGCATCATTTCTACTCCGATTCCATACAGTTTCAGTAAACAACTTCAACAGAAATTTGATTATGATTCCATCTCATTTCAATTCCTCCTCAATCAAATTCCCCCTTAATCCAATTCCTCTCAATTTGATTACGGATTAGTAAACGCGCCATAAGATCTAAGGCCATTTCCAACCAACTCGGTCAAAATGTCATAGACTAAAAATAACTCGGAATGACATGAAAATCATATTTAACAGAAAATTAGGCCAAAGGGTTTGTGGCTCCACCAAACCAAAACCCGCAAATTAAGCTAGCGGGCTAGCCATTTCCAACCAGCCAACTAACCTATCCCTCTAGCGTCAGAATGTCAAGCTTGACATTTTGCCAGCCCTCCAGCTCATTCCATTTGAATGCCAACGGCCATCTAGCATCAGCATGACGCCAGCCAGCAACCTCATACTATCGTCGGGTCACCGTTGGAATTTGAATTTTTTTTCCTATAAATACCTAAGTCATTCCTATACCATTTGTTACATATTTTTCACCGTTCCATTTTATTTTACCTTATTTTGCGGAGTCAAATTATGGGATTTGCTTGTCATCTTCATAGCTCTATTCACAGTTATCACTCTAATCACTCTATTCACAGTTATTACTGTCGACGAAAATCCTCCAAATCCAACTTTCGTTTCCCCAATCCCATTGTTTCCAAAACCACACACAATGTTTATTGTAATTCGTCCCTGGAGCAGAGGCTGCTCTCGCTAAACATGTCTGAGATTGAGATGAACAGCGGGAAGCTGCAGCAGCACGGGCGTGTGTTTTCCGATCAGTTGTCATGCAATAAGGCTAGTGGGAGAATCCGAAATGGTAATGTGATGGAGTTGGGACCGGTTTCTGTGCGCTCGCAAATGGTTAAGGATGTGTGGGGGGGGGCAGTAAGTTTAGTCTCAAGGAGCTTGAGGTTGCCGCGAATGGACATTCCAAACAAAATCTGATTGACAAAGGGGACTATGGAGTTGTTTATCATGGCATTCTGTCCGATACTTGCGCGGCAGTGAAGAGGCTAGTGAGTGACAGGTACTCAAGTTTATCGAATCTATATATTTTCGGTGATTATTGTCAAGGTGAATGCTACATATTCTGTATAAATCAACAGATTCCAAGTTGAGGACTTCACAGCAGCGATTGTGAGGCACAAAAATCTCGACAAGTTGCTTCGATACCGCATCGAAAGAGTGTACAGGTAAGAGAATTTTTCGACATGGCACAATTTTAGATGTTCGAAAGACAGCTAATGATTTGATTTTCCTCGCAGTAGATTGCTTGTGCATGAATATGTAGATAACAAATGTCTGCACCACTGGCTCCATGAATGCTCTTTGGACTAGTCAGCTAATGATTTTATTCAACACACGAACTTGTGGTCATATGATTTCAAGTGATGTTTTTGCAGATTGGCCTACCTGCACGAGGATATTGAACCGAAAATCCTACGTAGAAGCCTAATATCTAGCAATGTGCTGCTTGATCACCAATGGGATCCTAAGGTCTCCGAATTTGGCCTTGCAAAGCTCTACAGTCCTGAGTGGGGAATCACTATAATGGAATCATTAGGGTTAGTTGGCGGAAAAATCCGTATGCATATGCCTGCTGATGTTCACTATTGGAACATTATTAATTGTTAGTTGTCGATGATTTTCTTATCGTTCTTGAATTGCATGAAAGTTCAGTTACATTGCTCCGGAATATGCTTCTACTGGTGCTTTCACTGAGAAATCCGATATTTATAGCTTTGGAGTACTCGTAATGGAGATCATAACGGGGAGGAGCCCTACAGATCGCAGTCTAAGTATGAGTTCTTAATTTCGAAACATGTAAGGGTTTGTTTTTTTTCGTTCAAATGTGTGATACTTACATAATGACTACTCAACTGCAGCCATATCTGGTTGACTGGTTAGAATCCATGGTTGCCGGATAGAAAATTGCTTGCGTGGTTGACCCTCAAATGCCGGAGAAGCCATCTTCGGAGGAACTCAAAAGTGTACTTTTGGTTGCTCTTCGTTGTGTTGATCCCGATTCAGAACATAGGCCTCGATTGGGAGAAGTTATTCACATGCTTGAGCTGCGTGGCTTGCTGCTTTGCAATTTAAGGACAAGTATTTCCTTTCAATTAGCCCAAATTTGCAGATACGAACTTGATTTTCTGCCTAATTTTTGAATATATTATGTTTCATTTTTTTTCTCTGCAATGAGAAGGATCAATGGCTTAAGAGACAAACTTCTTCTCGTTCTATTTGCTGAGAAGAGAGCTTCTGCAAGACCAGGTGATCGGATCCCTAGAAAAACAAACGTGCAAAGCAGCTGCAAAATCGCTACAAGAAAATCGTGTTGAAGTTAAAACAGTAATCCTGAAACTCCGTTGAAGTTAAACGAATAATCCTGAAACTCTCTCCAGACATAACATTCATCAATCAGGGATTTTCATCCAAAGGCAAATGGAATAATCGGAAATCTTCCCAACAGAACAGAGATTTCTTGTACATTCGTTTTATGCAGTTGAGATTGTTAATTTTCTTAGTTTTCCACCAATTAAGACTGTTTGCTTGTGGTGATTAATTAGTAAAACGATGGAGCATAAATAGTCTGCAGAAACAGAAATAACGAAATTTTTTTTATGGTTATTAAAGTTCATACTGCAATGTTCTTTTAGTATAAGAATTCCCATCTAATACACTCAGAAGAAGGGGGTGCTTGCAGAGCAAGTCACCAACTTAACATCCTCGATCGCCAACCTATCCTCAGGGAAAGCACAATCAACCACTTCTTTCTGCTCGGGCAACAAATCGCACGCCTTTGGGGTCACATTACTTGTGATTCCCTCAACATTAGTGCAGTTCCATTGCAATTTTTTCGGCTTCTCAGTTAGTGTGATGGTCACATTCGAAATGCAAATTCCCTTAAAAGGATCATTAGGGATTCCGTCCAGCCTTGCGGAATAAGTAACATTTTCTGCCACAACCTGCTTGTAATTGATGTTTGTAATCTCAGGCAACGCTTTAGGATCAAAGCTGGGGTCAGGGTGCGATCCATAAGAGCCGGTCATCCAAAAGACATACTTCATTGTCTTCAAGGTCATTCTTCTCACATAAATGTCTTTGACATAAGCTCCTCTTCCTACGGCAGTTTTGATCCTCACACTCGATTGAGTGTCAATGGCTGTGATGTCCTCAGCTCTAACATCGTGGATTCCACCCGACATTTCACTACCTAGGGCAATGGTGGCACTGTCAGGTGAAATGCAAGTGAGCCTTCTGATCACAAGGTGCTCCGTTGGGATTCCTACTTTGATTCCGTATTCGTCCCATCCACTCTTAACTGCAATGCAGTCATCTCCAGAGACAATGTAGCAGTCTTCGATTCTTGTTTGTGAACAAGAATCTGAAAATTAAGCAAACAAAAAGGGTGAGATTAAGAGCTTATTAACCATGTTTATTTCCCAATTAAGCACTAATGACCAACAACAAGAACAAATTAAGTGGTAGCAAAAATTAGGAACCTGGGTCAATCCCATCGGTGTTGGGAGAATCAACTGGTGCAAGGATTGTGAGCCCTTGGATTGTTATATTGCTGCAAAATTTAACCCAGATTAATGTTAAAGCACATTGACAAATACACATAATATATAGGGAACTTTAACGAACACATTGACAAATACACATAATATATAGGGAACTTTAACGAAAACATCCTGGTACTGTTCACTTTAACGAAAGATTACATTTTTACACTAAAAAGTCAATCATTGTACTATTCACTTTACCCTTTATTTTGTCCTTATCGTTAAAACTCGAAGTTTTCAAACCATTTTCAATAGTTTTCCTTCATATTATATATGCATGTATAGTGCGAGAAATTTTTTAGAACAGCCGTCACATTGTCACGTGAGTACCACTACATGTCGATGCGACCGTCGTGCATTGATTATAAAACAAGGGGCACATTACCTGCTGTATATGGGATGGACAAACCACGAAGGGGAATTGACCAAAGTGAGATTAGAAATTTGAATCTGATTAGAGTACATGATCTCGATCATGTATGGTCGGGTGAGGGTCAAGTGACCTTGTTTGAACTTTGCCCACCAAGAAGCACCTTGGCCGTCGATTGTGCCGTTGTTACCGGTAATTACAACGTCGGTGAGGTTTGTTCCGAAGACGAGACTGCTGAACCTTCCACCGGGGGCATCTCTGCCTCTCCCATATGAAGGCAGTACTGGAAGATGAGGCCACTCTGACTCATCCTGTGTTCATCAAAAGTATGACAAAAATATAAGTTCAGTGAAATAGTGACCAATTGATAAATATACACGAAAAAAAATTTGATTACGCGATTGTCCAATCACCATAAATATGCGTCGGTTATATATAACTTCTTCTAATTACGATCGAGCCCAAAATATCTACCAAAAAAAGGTAATAACTGAAGAAATATTGACAAAAAAAGGGAAGAAATACAAACCTGAGTCGCAAGAATCACGGCATCCTTTTGGAGGAAGAGGGTAAAGTGGCTAGTGAGGTTGAAGCTTCCGGTGAGCCACCTTCCCGGCGGCACAATAAGCTGCGCTCCGCCGTCGGATGCAAGCTGACTTAGATGACCAACGGCAGCCTTAAAGGCCTTTGTGTTGGAAGTTTTTCCGTCTCCAACGGCTCCAAAGTCGGTCAAAAGAGCACTATGTTTTCTACAGTTTATGGCCGAGTAATTGATCGTGCCCGAAACCGGTTTTCGACATTCTGCCGCTGTTAGGAAGAATAATCCCAGCGCAACAATAATCGCAGAAGCAACCTGTAATTGTTTAAAACGACATAAATTTGTTAATAATAACAGAAAAAAAGGAATTAGCCTTCTAAGCGAAACATACGGGAACAAACTAGCCCTCGTTGGCTAGATCATCCCCTCCCAATAATTTAGTTTAGATTAAAATAAAATATCATATTTAAAAAAAGAAAGAAAAAAATCATCTGGGAATGATTTTGAAAATCCCATATCGGAAAAATTGATAAAAAAAAAATTACAAATAAAATAAATGTTTTTGTTTCTAAAAGGCTACAGTGTAATTAGCAACAAAACCATGTATTTTATTTGTAATTAGACTCACAAAGTCATTTTAATCTTCTTTGACCACCATCATGTGACACACCAATGGTGAGAATCAAAACTCTGGACCTGCCGTGTCAAATACAGGACTAGTATTCATCACCAACTACTAGGTCATCCGGTGGTAGTTAATTTAGAGATAATATCGGTGTTGGATCATTGACCGGTTATTTTAAAATTTGACAAACAAAAATGACATCACTAAAGATTGAACCCAGAAAACAAGCAAATTAACAAAAAAGTAATTGAAATAGTGGTGGAAAGCAAGAGAACTTACATGGAATTTTGAGGAGGTCTCCATCGTTTGAAAAAAGAGGAGTTGTTGAATAATGTTTTAGTGCAAGGAGGAAGGATGTGGAAGTTTATTTATAGGGGTGCAATGGATTTCCTACACATGGTAAGATATCTGAATGAAGACCGAAGGGACGGATACGAAATAATAACTAACCACCTTTTGAAAATTTACCGTATGTATTTGGTATGCCAAATATTCAACTCATCATAATTAATACCTAGAATTAAAGGGAATTAAATCCATGTAAGTGAACAAATTAAACCATTACGTGCAAGGAAAGTTCAGCTTTCCTTAAAAGTATGGGTCTTGTAGCCTTAGCGCCTTGTGTCTTCATCTTACCTTGGTTTGATTCATGAATCCCTTCGCGCTCAAGTCATGTTATTGGCAATCCTTATTGATGGGCGATCTGTAAAAATCCAAAAAGAGGCTAAGACTCCTCTATAAGTCCCCAAAAAGAGCTTTCAATCCTTTATCGAATACAAAGAATACTGCAGTGTTGTACAAATAGAGTAAAGAGAAATATATATCATTTTATATATTTCACAAAAAGAATTTACAAGTATTAAATACAGTTTTGACTGTTCCAAAGTAACAGAAAACAAGTCATTTAACAAAAGAATAATCAGTTAGCAGTTACAATAGACAAGTAAATAAGAAGATAGTCAATCGTGAATTAGGTGTAATTGCCATGATTTGAGATTGTTGACATTAGTGGAGAGGTTTTTGCCATGATTTTAGGACAGCCCTTCTATGTTCATTGAGTGGTTAAAACAGATAAGGGACATGACTTTAACTCGCTTATTGTTTTTCAAGGAAGTGGGTCGCTTGTGAAAACGGCCTTGCTAAAAGCAATCACCGTTTCAAAAATTTCCGCTTAGTTCCATTTAGGCCACGTTTTTGCTTAGCGTCGTTTAGGTCATGGCTAGTTGCTAGACGATTAATCATCGTCTCGATTAATTGTAGGTGTTTGAAAATTAAGAAATTATGTCTATACTTAATTTGCTAGGTGGTGACTCTCACTTAGACAAAAAATCGATAACTTTCAATTTGCATTTTTATTTTCAATAAATTGTAAGAAATTTGTTGAATACTTGGATAAACACATATTATGTACTAGTTTCTCATGTTTTAATATGTGCTAATACTTTATAATATATGTCAATTTATTTTATAATTTATGTATCTCAATACAATTATGTACTTTAAAAAAAAAATTAATTAGATACTTATTTATATATCATTTGTTAATTTCAATGAAAATTAAAAAATAGCATAAACGTCTGGGCGCTAAGCCTTTGCAAGGCGCTAACCATTTAAAACCTTGGAAGTAGCTAATCTAAAGAGAAGTGAGATACAGTGCCAAAGTTGAAGCTCTTTGGGCCTTTGGGCTCAATTCGATGGGGTTAAAAAATTTCTCTAATGCACATCACTAATTACACATTTTATATTATATTATATACACACTAGCGTATGGGCATACATAAAATGTGTGGAAAATTTTTTTATTTTTGTTTTTGAAATAGAAGGAGATAGGAAGAGAGTGATAGAAAATGTAGGACTGGGAAGTTTTTTTTTTATTTTTTATTTTATATATATATATATTTTAATTAGAGATATATTAGGATTATATGTAGGTGAGGTTTTAAAAAAAAAAGAAAAATTTGATTGTGTGAAATTACATTTCTGCCTCATATTTCTTATTCATTTTTTGATTTAATTAGAGGGTTAAATTGGTAATTTCATAGGATTTTGATTGATAATTAATGTTTTATTAATTTGTAGAAAAGAGATATAATAAGAACTGTCAGATTAAAATGGACGGGCGAAATGAAAGCTTTAATTCAAGTTAAAACCGGGGCAAATAAACCCGACTTGCAAACCATAAAGTTGAAGACCCGGTTAACATCACTCCCTATTTTCCTCCCTCTCTGGCGAGGCCCATTGGGCTTAATGGGCCTTCCAAAGGTATCTTTTTCGGCCAGAAATTAATGCATGCACGTTTTTTTTTTTTTTTTTTTTTTTTTTGCTTTCTCGTAATTATGGACAAAACAAATTAATGACCATTGACTCCCGTTATCAGCAGATTGTCCACGTGTCGGTCTTCGACTACTAGAAATTTGCCACGGTACCTACCTACCCGTCGAGCCCAACATTCCCCGCCAATTAAAATCCCGAAATGTGCTCGATCCGTTAGTGTGTGAATACGCAAACTGCTACGTGGCATTATCCAAACAGATAGCAAACTGGAACCCCAAAAAGGGCCAACCCGGTGTCGTTTTGTATCAACATGTTGCTGTGATTCGCTGTCTTCTTCTTCGCAATCCTTCGGTGGCCCATCAGCCTCACATTTCTTAGACCTTGCCCGGAGAAGGGAGAATAATTTATATAACGGATTAATTTTTATGGTGTATTTTTTATCTATTAATGTATTGTTATGCGCATAATCATTTTACGCTTAATAATATCTTATTAGATTGACACGTGATCCGATAAATTTGTTTTATGTTAGTTTTTTTTCTCTTGCCTAACAAATTGCATCCCCGCTTTTCTAATTCTCACCCTTCTTGTTCACACTAAATTACCAAAGTGGCATGCCATATTCAAACCGTTTGTTTCCCTTTTATATTTCATGTGTTTTGCTAATTTTATATGTGAGTTATGTCAGCTAATTAAAGTAGTGTTAAAAAAAGTAATAAAACTTCAGTTCAGATTTCTATTTTGAAAATTATAATAAATTGGAGAAAATACTATCCCATTCATTACAAAAATAAAATCACTCACTAACTAGTAAGATTTTACACTCCTCTTTTTCTCTCGTTCACTACCTACTTAATGAGAAATTTGTTAGTCCATTGAGAAAACAGTATGACATACCAAATATTATGACATAATTAGAGGTACGTTTAATTGTTTAATGTCTAGTCACTTATATTACAACACTTCATACATCAGATCGTAATCACGCTAATCTCGGAAACTAAATTGACTAATTTTGGCCACGTGAATGGTTTGCAGTAATTTGGCCGACTGGCATCATTTCTTTAAAAGTTTTTGTGACTTTTGTCCATTCGAGTGAGAAATTTTATATTGTGACGGAAATATAGATGGTACATTATGTGTTTTTACGTAAGTGGTGGAAAATTTTACTTTTTAACACTTATATCTCACTATTTGTATAATAACACGTTATTTACCATTTCGTGTGTCAGTCAACCTCTTCATTCGACTAGTATTTAAAGACGTTATGGTTGCGTATTGTAAGTTTTGAGGGACAGAAACTTGTGGTCTCCCCTGACTCCAATTCCACCCACCTTCAACTCTCTCTCTATCTCAACGCTCAGCCTCACCACCAACAAGTATACTTCCATGGCGGTCGGACTCTTCGCCGTCACAACCCCCACCCCCTTCCGCCTAATCCACTCCTCCTCCTACCACCTCCCAAAACCCAACCGCACCACCGTCTTCTTCCCAAATCTCCGCCACCAGAAGTCAGCACTCCACAGGGCTCGCCGGAAACTCTGTTTCACCGTCTATGTAGTGATGGAGGACCAAAAACAGATAACCAACCTCGACAATTCCGCCGGAAAATCCCCGGAAGCCGCCGATTCTCAGATTCCAATTGTAATTCCGTCGGTTCGCGTGGCGGAGAGGCTGTCGAGGAAGAAATCGGAGAGGTTCGCGTATCTTGTCGCTGCCGTGATGTCCAGCTTAGGGATTACTTCCATGGCTGTCATGGCTGTTTACTACAGATTTTACTGGCAAATGGAGGTAAATTTTTAAATTTCCAAGTTTTAAAATTTCTCTCTGCTCTCAAAATTATAAATCCCACAAAAAATCATAGATTATTATTATTTTTTATATATTTTATTTTGTTCATAGGGTGGGACTGTGCCATTGTCTGAAATGCTGGGTACATTTGCTCTATCTGTTGGTGCTGCTGTAAGTTCACTCACCGCTTCTTTTTTACCAAAAGCAATATTCTATGCTACAAGCAAGAGTTTAAACTGCTTCTGGTTCATGCAAGCGCTTTCTATAGAAGCACTTTCAAGCGTCCTCAAGGAATCATTTAGATTTCCGATAAAAATAATACAGTTATATCAGAAACGCTTATAAGCAGAAGTGCTTCATTCATAAGTAGTCCTAAGACAACTTCTCAATTGGGGAAAATGCTAAGTTGAATTTGGTTTTGTATGTTTCTAGGTGGGAATGGAGTTTTGGGCAAGATGGGCACATAAAGCTCTTTGGCACGCTTCCTTATGGCATATGCACGAGGTTTGTACCTTCAAATTTGGCTTCTTTTCACTTCTTAGGAACCCAAAAGATTGAATTTTTACTATTTTCTTTCGTTTTCGAGAAGCAAACATGCAATAACAAATCCAGTCTTTTACTAAGATTTCAAATACCTGTCGCAAATTCAATTTGATTATGTTTCGCCTCTTCATCGGAGAAAGATGATCCAATAATTCCCTCTTAGCAACCAGACAGTATTTGATATGGTTGATACGAATATGTTTTTAATACGAGCGACATTCTACTATAAACTAATTTAAACTACGCGATGAACTTCAATGCAGTCGCACCACCGACCCAGAGAAGGTCCGTTCGAGCTTAACGACGTGTTTGCGATAATCAACGCCCTTCCGGCAATAGCCCTTCTCAGTTATGGTTTCTTCCACAAAGGCCTTGTTCCTGGCCTTTGTTTTGGTGCTGTAAGTCTCCCACTTCCTTCCAGTATCTTTATGAATACATGTGTTTACTGTTCTATTAACGATCTTAAAAGAAGTGTTATTAACACTTCAAAAATCTCATTTTAAATGTATTTTTCTTTTTAAATAGAGAAATTTGGAATATAAAATGAGAATTTTGAAGTGCTAATAACAATTTCTGACTTTAATCATAATTAATTAAATTAATTAATCTAATTTCTGCTGTTAATATATTGACTTGAAACGACAGGGCCTTGGAATTACGGTGTTTGGGATGGCGTATATGTTTGTCCACGATGGCCTAGTGCATAAAAGATTCCCAGTGGGGCCAATAGCCGACGTGCCCTATTTGCGAAAGGTTGCTGCAGCTCATCAGGTAAACTATACCCCATACGGATTTGGATCTCATTCGGATTCAAATTGTGGAGATTTTGAAGATTTTCATATTTTAGCTATTTATTATACATCGTGCAGTCAGAAATTATTTGATTTTTTATTTAAAATTAAACACAAATAGTACCTAACGAAAATTGATTGTATGATGCAATCAGTTAGGATGTGAGGATCCCTACAAAATAAATCCGGAGAGGATCCTCTCTCCCATACACAAACGCACACTATGAAATAATACTTATCGTATTAATTTACGTACTTATCATATTAATTTGCGCCCATAATTATTGATTAATAACATGATTAGGCATTTAAGTATGAATTTCTGTTAAACTGAATTTAACTGTCAAGATTTTGTTTTGATTTGGATGTTTTGGACCCTCAGCTCCACCACTCGGAGAAGTTCGAGGGTGTTCCATATGGTTTGTTTCTTGGACCTAAGGTTAGTCATCAACTTTGTCCCTGTCTTGAAAATATTGTTTTTAATATCGAACTTGAGTGCAAATGGAGAAACAAATTGATTTCATCAACTTGACTAATTTCAAGTCTATTATTTTTTATTTACTGTGTAATTTGCGGTTGTAGGAACTCGAAGAAGTGGGAGGACTAGAAGAATTGGAAAAGGAGATCGATAGGAGAATCAAAGCATACAAGGGCTTATAACTAGATCGAAATTTTCAGTGTAAAAAAAATGATAGAGATAAATTAAATGTGTTTTTGTGATCAATAGTGTGTTACATGCATGGCTCAGCCAGCCTACTTGCATATCTTTGTATGTTTTGCCAATCTGCTGAGTGTATATTTTGCAATGAAGAAAGAAGGCATTTGTGTATTTTGTTCCACTTACGTACCATGTCGTTGGACCACCATTTTTCAGTTGTACACAAGTTAATATTTAAATGAGTAGTGAAGGGTGCATTTTCTAACGCCACGTAAGGTCATAGAGGGTAAAAGTAGTCCTTGATTATGTTTTTATTTTATTTTTAGAACAAACGATATTATCTACGTTAAGATAGTGGGATAGGTTAAGTCTCACAATAAACTAGTAATAATGTGGTTTAAATTCTCCTTTGACGAAAATTGAACCTAAAATCTCTCACTTACAAGTAAAGAGGAATATCATTACCCTGTAGTGCTAAGTAGCAATCCTATGGTCATTGACTACGTTTTAGTCTTTAAAAAATTAATATTTTAAATACTATGTTAGGGTTAAATTTTTTTTTTTATGTCCAAAGGTGCATGATTGTGTTTTATTCCTCTTCATTTTTTATTACTTTATGTGGTTAAATGTCGTCCGCCCTGAAACTACATATTGCCTGCTGTCCTGAGGTCAAACTTAGCCTGATGCCCTTTTGATTACAATTTTATAGGTCAAAAGGTTAAGTTAGTTCATGGATTATCACATCCATGATCAAATATGCTATCACTTTCGCCGACGTTTTTAAAAATGTTACTTCTAACTGTGCATGAAATGCGATGAGGACTGAGGGAAGACTTATCTTTAGACCATTTATTAATTTTGTTTAAAAAATATTATTATTAAAGAGATAGAGAGTTCGAAGCTATCATCTTAAAACATTCGTTTATTTATGAGTGTTACATCTATTGTCGAACAAACTCGTACAAAACTTACAATTGTATGTGCAAATTAAGAGAATATTTGGAAGGACTGCTTCGAATTTAATTTATACATTTTATGCATGAAACATTTTGGGGAAGAGCTTAACTTTAGATTTAGACGTTCGTTCATATGTATACAACTTACAAGGAATTACTGTGAGTTAGGCCTCATCATGCATATTGCGAGCTAGTTTTTAGGTTTTTTAAATCTCACCAGTACGAAGGGAGTTTTATTGATAATAAAAAAAAAAGTTATATCTAGTCAGATACGACATAAACATCTTGCAAACTAGCTAGTTGCTCCATAGTAAACGTAAGTAATCATGTTTTCACTAACTAGGAAAATTGATTGGAACTTTTTCTTCTTCTAAGCCATCAAATTGATTTTAGTTGGAGGCCACTTCTATTTTTCTAATGAGTAATCTAAAACCTATTTATCCGTTAAGTAGCTAGATTGACACCCGAAAAGGTCAAGATTTAGGTTTGGTTTATGTTGGTTAAAGATCAATGAAGGATGGAGGAGCTTGTGTTTGGTAGGTATGCTTTTGTAGAAAATTGGACATGCAGCCCACGCGTCGAAAGCTTGTAATAAAACATTCAATACTCCTCCATAAAATAATCTCACAGGAATATCTTCAACTGATAAAAAAAGACGACCTCAAATCAATAAAATTCTCTACTTTTTGAGAGTCGGGAGATGAATGTCTATCTTATACAGCGCTATTTCTGCAACTCGAACTCGTGGCCTTTGATCACAAACAAGCAAGTTTTTTGTTGCGTCAAGGCTTGCGACGCAAAACGGACATCTCTAACTAATAAACATAAAAAAGTGAGTGTGTGTGTGTGTGTGTATAATTTCAAAGAAAAAATAAGAATGAGTCGTGTTCATATCAAGTAGATATGATATTATTTTTTTCCAACTTTATTGTGTTTCAATTTAAACTACGTCTCTCAATTTGGTCTAATTACGAGTAAGTAATATCGCTTATAATAAATAAAATCAAAGTGTGATTGAGTTTGAACAATTTTGAATTTTAATCATGTCCTTTTCGAATAAATAGGGTTTATGTGTGATTCAATCGGGGAAGAGAGGAGATCTCTTCCATCAAATGTTTAGAATCAAGTGATCCAGATCGTTTAAATTTGATCAAACGGCTACAAACAAAGAACTTTTTTAAAAATTATAATAATTATAACCGTTGGATCAAATTTTAACGTCATGCGGCTTTGACCGGAACTCTTCCCATTCAATTATGCAAAAGCTTGTGACATGAAATAAAGTATAGTAACTATAGTTACTCAGATATACATCCAATATTTTGAGGCTACGTATTGTATGGAGGTCATACTCCAAACTCTAGGTTTCGTGGTGCTGACTCAACTCAACCGTGCATATAGTTAACCTAATTCATATCGTGTGTGTGCTGTTGCGTCATGAAGCTACCGCGTTTTGTCCATTTTGTTTGGTCATGCCATTGCTCGACGTGTGGAGTCTCGTGCGTTTTGTGTCACAAATGATGATGTAAGACTCCAATAATTTGAATATAATTGGATTAATATATACAGTTGACTTCCAATCGAGGGAGAAACTATTTGTTGTTCAAAAAACGAATTCGTACAAAGGATGTAATTTTTGTCGGACGGCTGGTTGAGACGTGAATCCAACTCCAATCTAATTATTTAATTTGCTTTTTATGATATGTGAGTAACTTGATTAAGTTGACGTAAACTCAATTTTAGTTTAGCCTAATAGACGTATATTTAGCCGAGTTAACTAGAACGATGTGTTCCACTTCTATACTTAAGTTCGAATTAACTCGCAATTGATCTAGATTGGACTTGGATTATCCAAACTATTCGAATAACTCGTTTGACAAGTGCTTTTAAACGACAAAAATCGTTTTTAAATAAAATGTTTTTGGAATCAAATTTTAGTAAAAATGCAAGTTAATTTTGGAAAAGCACTTGAAGTATTTCCAACAAGAAACACAAAACTAGTATTTCTAGCAGGAAACACTTCAAGTACTTTTGAAACTCAAAAACATTTTTTCTAAACACTTTCAACCATTTAAAAATACTTACAAAACAAGCGTTAATTAAGCATAATCAGCTTATGAGTGCATGGTTTGGAATACCATAATATCTTTGGTGCAAGTCCTTTTCCTTCTTTTACCAGTAGGAAATTAGAGTTATCCATTAGGTAAAAGTATCTTGTTACGCATCTGACTTTATATGACTAGTGATTGTTTGAAAAGTTTTCATTTTGTTGGTTAATATTCTTTTATCTTTTTTTTTTAATATTATTTGTACTAAATTTTACACTGAACTAATCATAATAATATGATTTAAATTCACTTTTAACTGAACTAATCACAATAATATGATTTAAATTCATTTTTAACGAAATCAAATTTAAAACCTTTTCCTTAAAAATAAAAAAGAAAATCATAATTTCAAATATTTGGTTTGATGTGGTCAAGGTCGGCGGAAATTCACCACCGTGGGACCAAATAAATTGACAAGCAAATTTCGGTTGGGGGCCTTTGGAATTGGGACCACGTTGGTCAGTTGGTCTCCTACTGCCTCACAGCCTCAGGCCCAGAGTAATGAATTCACGAAAAGCTTTTGCCACGTGTGGTGGTGTTATTGCTCAATCAAATTAACAAGCCGAAAGTTTTCACAAAAATAAATAAAAAAAAAAAAAATAATAATAATAATAATAGCATGCTAAATTGAGTAATATCATTATAAAATTAGTATTTTGTTTTGTCCATTTTAATGAATCGGGTGCGTGTGTGGAGGTAAAAATAATGTGGTGCTCGTAATGCAATAGTATTTATTTTTATTTTTTATACAACGATAATTTATTAGGCGATAAGGTATTTGAGCTAAGTCACTATGCCACACAACTAGAACGCCACATATGGTATTGCACTCATTATTTATGAGAGTTGAATTTAAAAAATTTCACTTACAAGCGAAGATAAATAATAATGAATACCGTTGTCTTGTAACCATATTTTCCTTTTGTTTTAATTAGTGATTATTTTTTAATTCGAGCAAAATTTACAGTGAAAAGAAGCTATACACTTGACTGTATTGATTTAGATAATAAAAATTACAGAAAATAAAACACATTGTTTGAAGTTAAAAAATAAAAAAGGTAAACTGGGCCTTTTGGATATTAACTTAAGTAATAAAGAAGGATTGGGAGTTATTGGGCCGATGTAATGGGCTTTACAGCCCATTTCAGATTGTTAAACTATCCATTTCTATATCTAGGAATCCACGATCCAACTTCAAAAGCCGTTACTTTCCCGGGAAAATCTGTGTCAGTGTCACACCAATGGATTTCCCGGCAAAATCAACGCCCAAAACCCTCCATTTTCCGGCCAATATCATCCGGAGATCGAAGATCGACTTCTAGATATTTATCAGGGAGAGCTTTGTCCAGTGCAAAAGCAATCGAATGTCGAAATCCGTGCGATCCTCGAGTAAAAATAGCCGCGGCAGCATCTCAATCTCGGCGGCGTTCTCGAAAGATAGTTATCGATAATCCGGTGGTTTGAGAAACGAAAAAGGGCTTGATTCACTTTGTGGGGACTGGAGGTTGCGGATTGTCTGCGCTGCCCATGGTTGCCCTGCAACAGGTAAAGTGAAGCTTGATTGAAGCCTTAATTCTCTGTTTGGTTGCTGAGAAAATGTTGGCAAATGACAGAAAATGAAAGAAAACAGTGCAATTCCTTAGTTCAGGAAACAATAAAAACGTGATGGAATTATTCCAATGTCATTTGACTTGGGTCAATTTCAATGAGTGTAATAGACTACATAGAACTGCGCAATTTTTAGGTTTCTTGAATTCAACACTTTTTTCTTTGAATTTTTTCGTAGGGTTATGAGGTTAGCGGCTCGGATATTGCTTGGAGTAGCTTCATGGACGGGCTGCAGGAAGCAGGGGCATTGTTGCACACAGGCCATTCGGTGGCTAACACACAAGGGAGTGGCGCCTCGAGATTACCTGGAGCTGCGGTTGTTTCAAATTCTGTTCCCCATAACAATGCTGAGATTTTGTATGCAAAGTCCGTCGGAATTCCCGTGTGAGTACATCTCTGCTAATTGGTATTTGATTTGAAGCAATTAGAAGTTCTTTAGGTGTGTAATGTTATAACACCGAAAACTTCGACTAGAAACTGTAAATCTGAATTCCAAATTATTAGTCTAGCAGTTGTGCGAGGTCGAGTTTGTAGATTGTGTGCAACTGTATATATGACGATTACGCTCATCATCCAACAGAATTTAGTGCAGTTATTCAAGCTGCACGCCCGAGGTTCCCTGTCAAGTCTCTTATGGTCGTATTCCAGCCTCGTACGTACAGGTATTCACTCAAGATGAGAACAATGCAGAATCCCTTTAAGCAGTTTCTGGTATCACTAGCACGATTCATATAATTGCGCTAGACTGATTGGTGATACGCAGTCGTTTAGCAGCACTGAAGGATGACTTCGCCGATGTCCCCGTGGTGCAGATCATGTCGTAGTCGCAGATGTAAGTTGCCTTGGCAGAGTCCTTGGGTTGTCTTATAGCTAAAGAGCCAAATGAAATGGTGTATGATGTCAGGTTTATGCTGCTAGAGAAATAGATGTCCAGAATGTATGTGGAAGGGAGGGAGCCCGCCATCTGAATACATCCCTTCTCTGGTAATACCAATGTTTTCAAATTGTTTAGAACACAATTGTTTCTGAATTGCACGCAAAATATGACTTTAAAAGATAAAAATTCACACGTCAGGATCAAACGAAAACTCGTTCGTGCTCCAAATGGTTACCTACGAAGGATTCTGGTAACCGGATGATTTGAAGATTGTTGAACATGAGGTTTGGTGGCTTTACAGGGTGATGTGGTAGATATGTTAGTATCACAAATATTGAACAAGCCTCATCGGGAAATCGTTGTTTTAACGCTTGGAGCAGGTACTCAATCTTCTTATAACTAATCTCATAACATTATGATCCGTCGAAAGGGTCTTGCTCCACTGCTCTGCTTCTCCATAGATTCATCACTAAATTTGGAGACTGAGGCACACCACAAACCGGAGATGCAAAGTATGTGACCCGTTCGGAACTACTCTTTCGTATACAGGAAGAAAAAGGTTACTAAAGTGGTCGTTTGGAGGAAGCAAAAGCAAAAGCTTCGACTTTGGCTGAAAGAGATCACCATATAATCGAAACATACTGTCCGGAAAACTTATTGTGAACGTTTCAAGAAGATGAAATCGACACCATAAGAACTCTGTAGTGAAGAGGAGAAGCGGAAGCCAAGCGATGAAAGTGATTGGGTTGGAAGTTAAGCATTTGAATCGGTGCGACGAAAAAGAGAGCCATTCGATAACAAATTCATCAATGGCAAAGATCAAGCATGAACTTTTCAATACGAATAATCGAAAGAGAGGTACCAATTTTACTTGTTTCTCAATCAATGTAAATACATCACACTAATCCTTGCATTCCCTAAAAATAAAAACTAGAAATCTATAATTCTAGCGATCACTAACAGAGACACAATCACAAAATTGAACTGACTTACTCTGTACACAGCTTCACTCAATTTCCCTCCACTCCTGAACATTCATCTGCAGATAAAAAACACAAGCAAAACAATACTTGCAAGCTTCAAAATTGCAGCACTTTCTACCCTCCGAAAAACGAGAAGAAGCCGCGCTTCTTGGGCTCTTCCTCCACCATGACAGCCTGCATACTATCCTGCTCAACAAGCCTCCACGCTGCCTGCTCGAAGGCCAGTCCTGCCAATGTGGGCGGCCTATTCAAAACCAGAGGGTACCCTCTGTTGGTGCTTCTGATGACCTCCGTGTCCTCCGGAATCATCCCCAACAATGCCAATCCCAACATCTCCTGCACATCGAGCACCGACATCATGTCCTCCCCTTTGATCATATCTGTCCGGACCCGGTTCACCATCATCTTTATATCCCTAATTCCATCACACTCCAGCAGCCCAATGACTCTGTCAGCGTCTCTCAAGCTTGTGATATCCGGCGTGGTCACCAGCACGGCCTCATTGGCCGGCGTAATGGCGGTGATGAAGCCGGCGTCGATTCCGGCGGGGCAGTCAATGAGGATGAAGTCCGGGCAGCCCTCTTGCCTGGCTTTCAAAGCGTCGACGACCCAGACCAGGGCCTTTCCGCCGAACCCCATCGGCAATTTGGACCGGGGCTTTGAGATGCAGAGCAATTCGAAGTTGGACCAGCGCTTGTCCCTGACAAGCGCCTGGTCGAGGCGGCAGTCGCCGTTGAGCACCTCAACGACGGTGTAGTTGACGCGGTTCTCGAGGCCGAGGAGGAGGTCCAGGTTGCGGAGGCCGACGTCGGCGTCGATGGCAACCACGGAGAAGCCGAGGCGGGCGAGGGAGAGGCCGACATTGGCGGTGGTCGTGGTCTTGCCAACGCCTCCTTTTCCAGAGGTGATGACGACGACGCGGGGGGTATCGCCGGACAATTGGGGCTTCCTGTTGTATTGGAGGATGGCGCGGACTGTGAAGGTGGGAGAAGGTTTGGGTTTTAGGGTTTTGGGTTTAAAGGTTTTTGGTGGGTTTGCGGCGGTGAGGGAGGAAGGCTTGGGGCTGAGGAGGGCGGGGAGGAGTTGAAGAGAGAGCATTGCGGCTTTTGTGGCCCTTGGATGATGAGATCAGGTGGGATCATCAAAACGAAAGGAAGGCGATGAAGGTGAACATTTTGGTGGGGAGTCTGGGGACTCTGCGACTGCGAGTGATCGTCGACTATTGAGCAAAAGGATGAGTTGTTGTAACAGCAACCCCACCCTAAAAATCAAGTTGGGTCTATTCAATCCATCCAAATAAATAGTAATCGATGAAGTGCATTTCTACTTCTAAATTAAATAGCCTAATCAATTTTTATTAAAATATTATTATAAAAGAATAATTGTATTTTTAATTTCTGACATTTTCTTTATTTATAACAAAAGAATTTATTAATTTCTGACATTTATTTATTTATAACAAAAGAATTTATTAATTTCTGACATTTATTTATTTATTTTTCAAGTTTTTTTACCAAAAAATATGGATTGTTGATCATAAATCGAACGGTCCAGATTATGCCATGTCACTAGCCGTTGGGTTTGAATTTCATTTTTTTTTTTATCGTTGGAAATCCAACGAACATGGATGTGCCACGTATCCCACGCCCAGCATCTTGTAGTGCGCCTGCACGGCAAGACCCCCTCTACGAGTTGTCGACAACACACGGCCACGTGAGCGTGTTTTCTACGTGCCTGGCGCAATAAAGAAAAGGGTTCACATGGCAAACTTCATATGACTCTGTTTCTTGCTTAGTCCATTATGTGGTGGGCTCAAAGCTGACCTTCACTTTAGGCCAGCCTATTGGGTGGGGTGGAGTGGGTTTTGGGTGGACTAGGATGGAAAAGTGGACTTTGGGCCAACTCATTTGTTAGGGATGAACTTGCTTGGAGACAATGATTGAGAATTTAAGACCCACTCAGCATCTCTATGTCCTGAGCTTGCGGACCAAGAGATGACTCTTATTAGCCAATCTTACTAACCCACTTTACAATAATAATAATAATAATAATAATAATAATAATAATAAAAAATAAAAAATTGAACGACTCAGATCTCTTTCCTGTCTCTCGAATGATCCGAATTTCTTACGCTCTGTACAAAGAAATCAGAAGTGGATCTCATTCCGTGACAAAAATAACACTTCAACAAGGATTGTGTAAATTAATGAGCATAATTAACCTTCGTCATACCAATTAATAATTTTACACATCAAAATTTGCAAATTGATTCATTCAAAATTGTACGAAATTTGACTTTATGATTATTTTTTTGTAAAAATTTGTAAAACCGATTAAAAATAACAGTGGAGGCAAGAACGTAGCCTGAATGGAAATTTTCGGTCAGAACATCTAAAACATTAACCTATGATACGATGAAAATGTCACCAAAACTATTTTTATGACGACTTTGTGTGGAAATTTGCAAATACAATTAAAAAGTGTGAGTTATTGCTCCTATTTTTTTTGGTTAAAAATTTGCCATTTTTTAGCTTTTACAATATCTTTGTAGGTGATAGAGATTTTAGAAAAAAAGAGGTAGAGAAAGATATAAGAAAGTTTAGAAAGAGATTGTAAGGGAAAATATGACGTACTTGACGCAAGCCTGCTTTGACGTTCTAGAATTCATGAAACCAACTTCACTTAATGCAATAAAACTCAGTTGTTGTTTGAGTTTTTACAAGATGTTCGTATGCGTTACAAGTTATTTGAAAGCAGATCTGATATTTATTGAGTCCCACCTCCTTATACCTAGGAGTAGGCCCGATGTAGAGGCCTTCTGCCATTACCCCATCTACATCACAGCCCCCCCCCCTTCTTATTCCTGTACTAGAATCCTCACCGTCGATCCAAATCCATAATCTTCAGATCTGTAATCCACACCGTCAAATAAACAAGCCAATAGAAACGCTTTGACGGAAAGCAAGTGGGCACCCACAGATTGCCTCGCCCCCCAACAAACCCATGAACTGAACCTAATCCCTAAAGACCAAAGAAAAGACAGATATTCCAGATTTTTACCCTTTCAAAGATCAACTCCCCCGTCCTCCCGCCACGTGTCCCCAACCAATACTTAAATTACACGATGACCCCCTTCAACTTTAATCTCTCTCTCTCTCTCTCTCTCTGGTCGGTCGGTTATCAAAATCAAAACAAACACCAACTCCCTGTTTCTTCCGTCCTCTGTTTCTCCCTCAGGAATCCGATTCCTTCCCCATTTTTTTTTTTTCCGATTTCGTCATTCCACGGATGAGATTCCGAGCTTGAGGCCCTTTCCTCTACCTTTGATTTCAATCTGGTTCGCTTTCTCTCTCTGTACGTTTTTGATTTCGTGTATTTGAATTTGGATTTAGTTGTTGATTTTTGTTTCGATTTATCTGTTTGGATTAGTTTTTTATTGGATCTGGATTGATTGGTGTTTGAATTTGATGCTGCCGTATCGGAATTGATTAGATCACGCTGTTATTTGTACGGATTTGTGAAGCTGTGCTGATTTTTTGTACGGATCTATCTGGTTTAGTGTGGATTTGAACGAATTGGATACTAGAGTCTGTTTGGATGATGAGAAAATGGAGTGGAAGTTCAATTTGTGGTTATTGAATTGAGTGAGAGAGCTTATTCGTCGGTTTTTTGTGTGTTATTTCATCATCTCACCTATACAATTACGATTGGATTAATTGGATTGGTGTTGTTTTGTAATTCATAATCGAAGCCGGTTTACGGAGTTGACTCGATTGGTATCTCTTGTTTTTGTGAGCTTTTTCTCTACTCTTTGATCCAGAGCTTTATGACTAACAAGTATCCGATGTGTATCTTTACACTTAATCAAATGATTGTTAACTCAGTGTTTGTTGGGATTTTGGATCTAGCTTGCAAGGTCTATGAGACTATGACGACGTTATTTAGATCCAGTTTTCGGTTATTCAGGTCTCTTTCCTGGGAAGCTTGACTTCACTTTTAGTTATGATGATTGTTGGGGTTAGGCATATGTTGGGGAGGATGCATTCCTGTTTTATGTTGCTTGCATTTGTTGCATGTGCTTCTGCCTGTGAGTGTCTATTTTCGTTTTCAATGGCGCAGCGCGCTATGTTCATGGTCGTGATTAAGAGGTGTTTTCTTCCTTGTTGTGGTCGGCTAAGTCTTTTGGGCTATGATCTTGATATTATGTGTTGTTTCTTTGGATAATGATATTTGTGTCTATTTTTTGTTATCTTTTGCTTTCATTGAGAAGATCGGATAAGTTGTTTTTAGATTCCCAAAACTGAAATTGGAATTGAACTGCTTTCTGAAATGTTTTCAATTGGGTTCTTTCGGTGTTGGTTGTGGTGTTTGATTGTCGATGTTCAGACACCCTTACAAGACGGGTTGCACGTCTGTTAACTGTGTCTTATTTGTTTATTTATTTCGTTACTTTTATGTGTGCATTTTAATGTTTACTGAGGTAGAAGTTTTGGTTTAACTTGTTACTCTCTTTACTATGTCTGCAGCAGGGAAGGCCATGTGAGCTGTTTGGAACAAAGTTTCGTTAGTGCTTCCACATTTGGTATTGGATGATCAGTTCCTCTGGTATGCTCAAGATGGGTAAATGCAAGGGTTGTGGGAAATTAGGAAGAATGATGCCGAGGGGTGGATCTGTGAGTGCATATCGGTTTTCCCTTCGGTTGTCACCTGTTGTTTCAGTTTGGGATTGCATCATTCGCAAAATGAGGTACTCTTACGGACCTGAGTGGGTGTAGTTGTTAGGATTATAGTAATTATATTAGTTTTCAACAAGAAGATAATTAAGTTTATTTACTAATATAGAAAATTAAGGGAACACAGTTATAGGAAAATGTATACACTTTAGGGGAATTCTCGGCAAGTTAAACAAAGGCAACGTTTTGGAGGTTGTTAGTTGAATGGATAACATGGAGTGTAATAAATTGCAACCTGTTGTGAGAAAAGTTAAGAAAAAGCAGGTGAAGGACGAATTGGATCGTCAAAAGCAGGCTGAAAAAAAGAAGAGGCGCTTGGAGAAAGCCCTTGCTACTTCAGCAGCCATCATTTCTGAACTAGAAAAGAAAAAACAGAAGAAGAAAGAAGAGCAACAGAGGCTTGATGAAGAAGGCGCTGCAATTGCCGAGGCTGTTGCGTTGCATGTCCTACTTGGTGAAGAAGACTCAGATGAAACATGTGAAATTGTTCTGAACAAAGATCAAGTGTTCAATCGTTGGAATTGTCCTAGCGACGTTGACCTATTTATGGGTGGAAGGAGGGCACGCTTTCCTTATCAAGACTCTGCAAAGTGTTCACTCGAAGGGATTGGGTGGGTGTCCAGTGCTTACAGATCGGGATACAAGTTGGGCGGCATAGGGAACAGTGAATGGTCGCTCTCTTCTGGGCCTTATGGAAGAGAGTACCCTGAATCATTTTGTGAGGATGGAGGTTGGGGTACCACCGGATTTGCAGCTGGGCTCATTGCGGCGCAGGCTGTTTCATCTCTACGGATCACAGAGGATGCACATGAAGGCACACTAGTGCTCGATGGAATGCTAAGACGGTAGATGGACATTTCAGTCAAGCTGCCATGTTACTGGAAGAGCCCTCAGCTGTATTTCGTTAACAGTGTTATGTATATAACTTCGTGGATGTGTACTAGGTGTTTATCATAAACACGCGTATCTTCTTCGGCTTGAAGAATGTTGCAATGTCATGCTCTTGTGTTTTCTTCTTCTGTTTTCCCGTCGAGGGCTGCTATATTTTTACGTGCAGTGACATTTCATGACCTTGAGGCATCAGCTGACTCATCTTTCCGATATTTTTTTGTGGATTGTATCAAAACTAATGTAGTTTCAATAATGTTAAGATCTTTTCTGGTATGAAATTATTGTGATTTATGCCGGTCTACCAGTAACTTGTTGATTTTGTGTTACATCTTACCATGTATGTTCTTCGTTTCTAAGACGTACCTCAAATAAATACGCCAAATTATATAATTCAATCCGCTCATAGGTACCAAACGAGCCATCGGTGTTAAAAGAGTGAATTAGATTGGATATCCTAACAAATTCAAAGGAATGTTCCAAGTAAATAAGATAATTTACGTAAAACTAGCCACACTACAGAGGGCTCTGATAAATATACAGCTGATCAACCGCATTTTGCGGCCGATGAGAAAATGGTGTGCGAAAATCATTTTATATGCACAATTAACCATTCAACAA